GTGGCATGGGCTTGGTTGGGAATCAATCATTTCTTCTGTAATGGTCGTTTTGTCGTAAAACACAACTGTGTCTTGTGGATTTGAGTTTGCAGTTTTGTCTTCTGAAAGCCTCTCTGCAGTTGTTTGACTTTCCTTTTGTGAAACTTTGTGGAGAAATTCAGGTGCGGCATTCTGGTGGTCTTTGACTTCTTTGGACTGAGATGTAGCATATCCCTGGCTGTCCATGTGTTTATCTGATGTCTGGGATTCAGTCACTTCAGAAATACACAGATTCTGTTCCAGCGGTCTATCTTTCAGTTTCAAAGCCAAAGGGTCGCTGTCTACGCCATAAACAGACCTGGTTTCAGGCCCTGATAGCTCAGCAAGACAACTGTCTGTGTCACTTTGGACTGGGTTTGAGGGGCATCCTTTATCATCTGCCTTGCAGACTGGCTCACTTTCACTGACATCGGTTTTTGTTTCATCACACAGCTTTGACAGGTGCTTTATCATGGGATTGACATCCTCAGGCCTTGAGATGTTATCAGTTGAAACCGATGGTGAGACTACAGGTACTGTTCTATCTGCCTGCATTGGAATGTCAAGTTCCTTGTTGTTGTTCTGAGAGCAGCCATCTTTTCTAGCCTTTTGAAACTCGATGCTTTCATCTGTGTGAGGAAATGAAATGCATGCATCATTATAAGAGAAAAATAAGAAGCACAGGTAAGCTTTCTTGATAAAGAGACTCCAGCAACCACCTCCTTGCACTTCACATCATTCTGTATAAAAATATTAGTTATAGTGGCGCCAAGCTTGGCTGAAAAAGACAACTGTGCATTCTTTCTTACTTACCTGGAACGTCTTTATCAGGGTGACACGTTGGTTCATGGTTATCATGAGGACTAATAAGACTCTCCTCAAGATCTTCATGGAGACTGCTCGCCTTCACAAGGTTAATCTCATTAGATGTTGTACAAAGAGAATTTTCTTGATCTTTTATGGCAATCTGTAATAAAAAGACCCCACAGTTCGATTAGAATTCAAATCACTTAATAAATCAAATACTATTTCAAAATCATGAAGTTTAGACCTATTTAACCATGTTCAATCTACAAGCTTATTAAACAGTCACTGGTTATGAATGTATACGTAATCATCCCACCTCAGAGTTATGAATTTCTTTGGCTTTATGAACTGCAGAAATAGACAGCTGTTTGTGCTCTTCTTGAAGTTGATTATATGCCTCTTTTACCGCTTGCAGCTCTTCTTGACCGGACTCCGTTGACATTTGCAATCGCAGAATCTGTGTGAGAACACCAATATTCACTTTAAAAAAATTAAATAAAATAAAAATACCATTTTAATAAAAAATGTTCAGTCTCAGTTCCAGATCCTTTGTTTTTGTGTGATGCTTTTCCGGAACTAATCGTCACCTCTTTTTCCCAAGCAAGTTTAGAATTTTGGTATTCATCTCTCAAGCGAGCAAAGCTGTCGTCTTTTTCTTTAGTCCTCTCTTGGTTCAATTCATGTTCTGTTTTAAGGACCTGCAATGAAATTAATCACCCAGAAAATTTTTAATGCAATAATACATTTTTATGTGTTTATTTAACCTGGACAGAGGATTCTAAACAGATGGAGAGGCCAATACAAATCAGTTGACTTTTGTCATGTTAATAATGGTTTTAATCAGTGTGAACAAGTGAATTAAATAGAGGAATGGGGGGAATAAAAGAGAAGGAGGCTGTAAACGGACATTAAACACACTTACTATTATTGAGTTGCACTTCGTGTGTTGTAAATGTGCAAAAGTGATTTTCAGTTCATTTAATCAATTTTATGAGTACTAGGTGACCATTGTTTACTCCTGAATATGTATACCTTACTAACTTTATAATTTGAAGAAAATTAAATTACAATAAATATCTGGAAAAAGTTGACAAATTTAGCTTCTTTTTTTTTTTTGCAAAATATTTTATTTTGTGTATAAATATGTGTAGAATTAATTGTCCTTTATTTAATTAGCTCATTTTATTTGTTTATTTTATCACATAATTAATATGTGAATTGTAACTGAAGTCTGTTTGTGGCTGTAGCCTGTTCCTTAGATGTGCACACAGCACACAGTAAAAAACATAATAATAATAATAATACAATTTACATATTAAAATAAAAAAATGTAAAAGCAAAAATAGTTGCGTTTTTTTTGTGTGTGTGTTAAGTTGAAAGCGATACTGCTAGTGGAGTTGGGTTTTGGGAAGCCTGACCTGATATTCTTCACAGAGTTTGCGAAGCTCCTGCTCTGCTCGGCTCAGAGCTTCTGTCTGTCTCTGCAGCAAACTCTGACTGTGGTGGAGGGATCTCAATACCTCCTGACACACACACACGCATACTTAATTTCATCCAAGTGTTAAGCCCGATGTTACCCTTGTTAAATGATACTAACAGTCAAAAAGGTCCAGCTTTTTCTGAAGGGCTTACCTGCTTCTCTGCCCTTTCTGTGGCCATTTCATTTCTCAGTTTTTTGTTAAGTTCTGTTTCCTAAAGACATAAAGTATAACATTTACAGACATCCTGGTATCACCTTTTATGTTTAACAAATTTAAAGAGATTCTACCACAAGGAGTTTCTGCTGAAGCAGTTGAAACTCTTGCTCTTTCAGAACATTTAGTAAACGTTCCTCTCCAGGTTTGCAGACCGACGACACTTTGAATGTGACCAGCTCTTTGTTGATTCTCTCCAAATCCTAAATATGAAATAAAAAGGTGCAACAATTTGTTACACAGTGATGTAGAACTTCTTCCAACTTCAAAGCAAATCAATTTACAAAGCAATAGGAGCATCGTCAATGGTACAACAATGATTCTGTGCTTTTTTGTATACCTCTTTCAAGGCTTTAATCGAAGATTCTTGTTTTTCATTGATGGATGTGAGCTTTTTATTCATTCGCATGGCCTCTTCAACTTAAAAAAAAAAAAAGATTTAAAAAAGTTTGGCATTGCTACACAGAGAACTGACAAAGAATTCATGCTCAAAGAATGACAAATCAATTCATAGATGTAAAGCAAAGAAGAGTTTTTATTTTTTATTTTTTACATCAAATCTGTCCAGAGTGAATGAAGAAAAATTATGAATACCAGATTGAATGTTTTCCAGCTCTTTTAAATGAGCAAAATATAATCAGGTTTACACCCCTGACTCAACATAAAGTAAAGTTTAAATTTATTTTTCACTAAGACAGACAATGTTTGTCAGTCATACCATTTTGTTCGAGTTTGTCATGGGCCTGTTTGACCATGGCACACTGTCTGGAGATGACGGCGAAACGCCTCTCCACTTCTCCCAGCTGGTTCAGGTGGCTGTCTTTCGTTTGTGTCTGCAGCTGCAACTTTTGTTCCTGAAAAGTTTAAAAACACATTGTCCTCCCTTCTAAGAGGAATATCCCCATTCGGCCGTACAAGTAATAACAGTTCTTCTTCTCGGCAAGGGCAGATCGTGAATATATACTGCATCGGAGAGTTTGAAGACCTTTGTTTAACATCTCGGCTGAGTGTTCCTTTCTGCTAGATAAGGAGTCAACTTCCAAACATGCCTGAGGGGCTTTTATGTGAAGCGCAGCCCGTTACTGTTTGATTGTCTGTATCAAACTGATTTCCCTCTGCGCCATCGAAAGGTTAAACAGAGCGAGGCTCCGATATAAAATATTTTAATAGTCGTATTTTCACGGCGGTGCTGGCAGTTCACGTGTCACGCCCTCCCTATCCGTTACTCCTGATGATCCGCTCTCCCTCTCAGTTCCTCCTCTTTAATTCTTCCCACTCCCACTTGCCTCTGTCAACAATTTATATAATTGGAAATCCTTACCAGCTCGCCTAATTTCTTCTCCGAACTGTACCTGAGCAACTGTAAGACAGTAGTAAAAGAAGAAGAAAGTGGTTTAGTGAGTTGTTTTCACTGAAAGACCACAGAGTGACCTTTCTAAAACATGGAAACAAAAAGGCACATAAATAAGAGCAAACAGTGTTTAGATATGAATCAAATTGCCCAAATTGCATTATCAAATAAAAGGGTAACAAGGGCCTTTATCGGCCAAACTACGGGTTTGATGAACCGTAGGAGAAACCATTCATCACCCGTGTGACATCATTTATCTGACAACACCAAATAGACCTTCACAGACCCCCACTCAAAGGTCAGCTATGAGATGGATTTTCCCACTGTTTTATGTATATGTCCCTAAAGCAAGAGAGAGGTATGGAAGATCTGGTCATGTAAAAGTGTGTGTTGTTATTGTGTTGATTTTGTGTACCTGCAGCTGTTTTAGTTCTTCTTTGAGGCTGATGATCTCTTTGTCTTTCAGCTCAGCAGCCAGCTGGTTTTTACCCTTTAAGGGGTCATTAGTCAAGCGATGATTAATTAATATTTTAATGAAGTATTTAAAAAAATAATAAAGTTACTGTTTAATAAGAAAGATATTAATAAAAGCACAAACCAATGCACAACAGATGGAAATGGAAATATAAATTGACCAACCTTTTCTCCCTCAATTTTTCGGATTTGGGCCTGAAACTTTAAATTAGACAAAATAATTTATTTATACAAGTTTTCATATATTTTTGTTAATTATATTTTTATTAATTATTAATTTTTTATTGAAATAAAGTCTTACACGCAAAGGTTGAGTGAGATGTCATACCTGCTTTTTTACAGCGGCAAGTGACTCGGAATTTTCGTTCGACATTCTAGAAATCTGACTTTGTAAAGACTCCTGAAAAATAATAAGCTGTTAATATTGACATAAACTTTAGCCATATAAATGGTATTATATCTATACATGCTCAGTCATTTCCTCAAAATCAATCCCTTTTGCAAAAGTGTAAAAAATACCCTCTAACAAGGTCAATTTTTTTAAATAATGGAATCTTAGGAAGTTAATGGGGGAAAGAAACAGAAGTATTTTTATAATTCCTAACAAACCTTTTGCCATTCCAACTCCTGCTTCTCCAGCACAAGTTTACAAGTCTGCTCCTCATATCTTGTTTCAGCATCCTGCATCCAAAATGTATAGAAAACACATCAATAATTAATATAATAATAAGAAAGGACCATATGGAATTAATTGATTTACATTTAATGCAGGTATCTGAACATCAGAGAGGAGATTGTCACATAAACCCATCATTGTTCTGCTTTCGTCTAGGACTGCAGGTTTAACTCAGTGGTTTTCTACATAGTGGCTTTTATTTGCATGTAGGAGTTTATTTGCATTTTCCTAATAAAGTATGCTACTTGCTGTTAACGTTTCATGGAAGGACATTAAATTGAATAAATGGGGTTTGAAAGTTAAAAAAGCACTAAAATTAGTAGGTCATGTGAATCTTTCAGGACAGAAACTGATTGCATATGTGATTGGATGAAATCTAATAAAACAAAGGACACATAAAACGTGTTGAAATAAAAAAAACAGCATGTAAAATATCACTCTATATGTCTCACTCATGACTAGTGTCATGCATCAGGACAATGCACTTGCAGCAGCTGGATGTTCAAATTTCCTGTATCTGGCAAACCGACTGACAACATCGCAAGCTAATACAGTCATTTTAATGGAACACACTTTGCACTCTCTTAACAGAACATAAGAATTGACGGCATTCAGCTGAGTGCGTTTGTCTGGCAGGAAATCCTCCATCTTAACCCCGGCCCTATAAACCAGAGAACTACAAAGTGTTAGTTTAATGGCATGCCTGAGGATCACATCGATTTAATGTCTTTGTTCCTCACCAACATCATAATAACAATAAAACATGAGAGATACAATTGTTTATTTTTGCTCGTACAACCTTTAAACATGTCCAGCGTGGGGTTTTAAGTGCTTTGCTCGAGGGTACCAGTCGTGCAGGCAAATATGTGAATTTGTCAGGTCCTGCTGCATGACCCCATTCTAATGTAAGTGTAACTTCTGCTGGCTTATACCCAGATGGACAGAAAGTGCTGCTTGCTTTTTCGTCTTCTGAACGCTCATGACACTCCTCCCACAAAATGACATTCCTCAGTTCTTCATGAACGGGCCAAATAGAGCCATCATGCCATTAGGATTCTAATAGACTGACATTCCTAATATACTGAGATGCCATTTAGCAGCCTTTTAGGGTGCTGATATTTGTCTGAGATTGCTCAAGCCCAATAAATATGTGCACACATCTTAGGTTAAAACTAATACGAAGATTTCTCAGCCAAGAGAAACATTTGTAAGTAAACTGAGTGTCTGATCTGACACTTACGAAACGATTCAATGTTGACAGGCTGATTTTGGCATTTTAGAAATTTCTGAGTTGAATAAACAGCCACATCTCAAAAGAGGTTTCATTACATTCTGCCATTTGCTTTGTTGCACAATTGAAATGTTAATATTTTTGGAAATCCTGATCACTACACTCTAAAAAATGCTGGGTTAAATACAACCCAGTGCTGGGTAAAATAGGGACAAACCCAGCAATTGGGTTGTTTTGACCCAGCGGTTGGGTTACTACCCAGAAGGTTGGGTTAAACATTTAACCCAACCACTGGGTCAAAACAACCCAATTGCTGGGTTTGTCCCTATTTTACCCAGCACTGGGTTGTATTTAACCCAGCATTTTTTAGAGTGTAATTATCTATGTAAATAAAGAAAGAAAAAAACGAATGATCAGTAAAAACATAAAAATATTTAGAAAATGAAAACAAACAAACATGCAGGAATAATTTCTACCTGATCTGATGATTAAAATACTTTCTTTACTTTAACCTAATGTAGCTATGTTAATTTAGTCATTTTAAATCATATTTAAAATATTATTTTATTGATTTCTGTCAGTTATCACACAATAAACGTGGAACACACAACACTATTATACATGTATTTATTTAACACGTATTCAATTTGCACCTAACATACCTGTACATACTAAGTTGTCTATTTTGTATATTATTCTTTTTATTATCTGTGTCTTGTCACTGTCATTCTGTCGCACTGTGGAGCTTCTGTCACTAAAACAAATCACTCGGATGTGTAAACATACCTGGCAATAAAGCTCATTCTGATTCTGATTTAAATATTAATATTTTTTGCCAATTGTGAAGACAAAACTAAATAAATACAAAATATATTTATTAATATTTGAAAAATAAATAGAGAATTATTAACTAAATAAATATATAAATGAATAGTAAGAAGACAAACAAGTTATTTCTACCTGACCTGATGATTAAAATATTTTCCTTGCTGTAACCTAATGTAGTTACTTTTTCAAATATTATTTAAAATATATAATTTCATTGCTTTCTGTCATAGTTATTGCACTATTTAATTAAATAAATAAATACAGGGCAAAGGAAAGGTGACACTGAGGTTTTGTTATTTTTGTCTTTATCTCATTCGATCAGGTAATTAATTAAAATCGTCTTTAATTGTTAAGCCTGGCAGGGCACTAATGGTAACGCAACTACAAACACCTTAAAAAACAACAATGAAATAAACATCATTGTCTCCTCCAGCCTTACATCTCTTGCTCTGTTTTCTCACATGAAAGGATAAAAGTAAGAGTCCATACCCTGTGAATATGCAGCTCTTCAACCGCCTCCAGTAGACTTGTTTTAAATTCCAGTACTTGAAGTGAGATGGTACGCCCGTCATTCTCTACAACAATGTTTGGGGTCTTCGGTCGGCTGAGGGCACCTTTATCTTCCATCTACAGACAAAAACAGCAAGAGTGTGTAAATCTTGTAGTTTCATTTGTATATCATTTAAAACACATCACTCTACTTTGGAATATTTCCACTTACCAAGGAGAAAAGCTCTGTTCCAGAGTCCACACTCAACTCCATGGCACTTGGGAAGAAAAAAAAAAAAACATTAAATCAAACAATCTAAACAGAACCTACAGATCAAATTTGGTATTCAGTTTTGGTACATAAAACAGCAGCAATAAGATTAAATACATCAATGTTTAATAAATCATTTAACTAATAGAAATTATTATAATAAAACGAAAAAAAAAAAAAAAACTTAAATCAAACAATCTAAACAGAACCTACTGATCAAATCTGGTGGTTTTGCTTTAAAAAACTGCAGCAATATGATTTTAGCCAAACTGTAGGCTGTCTGTGGTTGCGAATCAACATCCACATTAACATAAAATTCAACCAAAGTGTGGTTATGCTTCAACCAATTTCATATCATTTAGATAGATGATATTATAGATTTTAGTAATATTTTTATGGAAGTTGCTGCCGACTTTATTTCAGTGTAGTGACGTATGTCCTTCTGAAACGGAATATGGAATAGAGGGCATGGTTTTATTTTGGCGCTCCTCCTCTCTGTCTCTCACTCATATCAAACTAACGGTTGGAGGGGTGTGTTTAAAAGGATATTCTGCCCAAGCCGTCAAACTGACATCATCAGAGAAGGACTGCCATTCCAGAGCGGAAGCAAATGTTCAGATTTTCATTAAAGATTACGAAGACAAACAATTTTTTTCAGCGGATTAACTTGCACAGATTAATTGTTAACATCAAGACTAGTAATGTGCGCTAGTAAAGTAAATAAAGTCAATTTTGATTTCATGCCGACTTTAATTTCTATTTTTGTATATTTCCTTTTAATTTTAGTTAAAGTTCTAATAATTTTGCTGTGTGTTTTGTCATTTTTATTCATGTTTTCAAATCTGTTTTTATTCATTTTTATTTCAGTTTTAGCTTTAGTTATTACTATGGAAGCCCATTTCCGCCACAGGAAAAAAAAAAAAAAAAAGGTAATTGTGACTTTGTTTCTCACAAATATTTTTTCTTTTTTTTGCAATTCACAGTTAACATCTCACAATTCTGTTTACCAACAGAATTGCAAGAAAATAAGTCCTAATTGTGAGACATAAACTGAGAATTGCCAGAGAAAACATCTGAATTGTGAGATAAAAATGACCGCAATTACCTTTTATGTTTTTTATCTTGTGGCGAAAAAACAGTCTTCCATATATTTCAGTACATCAAGTTAAACTAAATGAAAATAATAATAAAAATAAAAATGTTGCCTTGAAAAAAATATCTGGAAAAAATATGTTTTCATTTCAGTCAACAGTTACTTGTAAAATAAATGATACAAAAGTAATAATGAAAAATGATTTTTTTTTTTATGGATTTGCTTTCAGTTTTACTTAACTATAATAACCCTGGTTGATCACAAGTGCACATATCAGCTCTAAACGCAGCTCATCCTGTCAGAATTTAGAGCTAGAACTATTGGTTTTATCGTACTGCATATGTCAAAAACAATGCTACTACATAAATTTTGCCTCCTAAGAATATATAAACCACAGCTATAGACAAAGTTCAAGCCGTTGCATCAGAAAAAGCATTTTAAATCCCATCTCGAACCTATCAAGGTGAAAATGGCAGCATGGTGAGAGTGTAGGCTAATAGGGGTCAGGGCCATAACACCGGATGGACAGATGGCGCTGTCATTCAAAAGGAATTATATAAGATATTTAATTTGACCTGTGCATGGTCCGCTGTATCCCCATCATCATGACTGACTTGGAAAGTGGGAGGTCTTCATTCTGCCTGGTGTTTTAATAGAAGAAAGGCTTTCGTCCATTTAGCCGCTGCTGATATATCAATCATGTGCAGGAATTAAATGATCCCGTTAGAATTTGCTACTATCACAAATGACCTGGAGGGCCAATGTCTTTATTCGCTTCCTCCGCTGATTCACCTCAGCAGATATTAAACAACTTTATAAGCCATGAAAGGCAAAATTAAAAGTACACCATCCATAAAATGGGATAATTCCTTGTCTGTGGTATGATGTCCATATTACTGTCATAGCTGCTGATCTGTAAATGTGAATGGCAGTGGACGGGACTTCAGGTGAAAACCTGCTGGAAGTTAGAGCAGCGATCAGATTTAACCTTTGACCTCAGCTGATCAAACATTAGTTTTGCTTACAGGGAGAAATTTGGATTTAATGTCTGAGAAGACTTTTAACCCCTAAATAAACATTACTACCATAAACACTGTCCTGAGATATTAAGTAATATTCTGTCATGGTAAACAAATGCTGGTTTACCTAAACTGAAGTAAATGAAAGCAGCTTATCGTAATTTTTAAATTCATTTTATTATTAGTAATATTTTTTAATTAAACTAGTATTTTTGCATAAGCTATTATAGTTACCATGGTAAATTATTGTTATAGGCTGAATAGGCTATACACATTTTTAACACTCTGAACTTACCCAGTCTAATAATTTTGGAAGATAAAATAATAGCACATTTTCGAAATCCAAAATATCATATTTATGTAACGGTTATTTTACAAATATTTTAGTAAGGAAAGAAAATCTAGCTAGCTAGCTAAACTATCACAACATTTATTTATTAGTTTTTTTTCTCATAAGTGACTAAACAGCTAAGACGAGTGTTGCAAATAGTTAAAAGAAAATTAACGATTGTTTAATAAGCATACATTTATTAAATTATTACTTTAAACAGGCCTTGTCGACTTTTGTAGCCGCACTGACTGGATTTGATGCGGTTGAAATCCAGTCAAGATTACGCTATATCTTAAGTAATACATTCTGGGATTTATGTGCACTTTTCTCTCAAATATCATCACTGAAGATGTTTAAAAGCAAATAGTGATTTATTATTTTTCCGAGCTAGTATTTTAAATCATGTCACTGTAAACCGACTCGTCCTACCTGTGTCATCCATTCAGCGCTAAGAAACTTTGCCTTTGCTGCCACCTAGTGTCCTGTGTGCACAAAACTGCAAGTACACCCGCGCTCCAAAACTGTTCCGTTGACTTGTGTACCATTTATACTTGTGTATATGTAACAACATATTTTTACACGTTTATGGCTTGGCATAGTAAAAAAAAAAAAAAAGCTAAATATTTAGGAAAAAAAAGCTAATATATTACAGGGTCGAAGGAAACTAAAATCAACTTTTATGTAACTAATTAGGCTGTTTAATAAATTAGACACTCTAGTTTTCTTTAATTTTATAAATATAACTATATATGTACATTTAATCACAACTGTGATTTTATTGCCTTTAATAATTAAATAATCTGGAATTTAATTATTAACCATTTTATACAACCCTCCCTGTCCGAAGCACATGCGCTAGGGGGCGGCTAAAGTGACGTTCTATTGGGAAATGTAGTTCTGTGCTTCAAAACACCGCTTTAGCGTCATTGAAAATCACATCTAAAAAAAACTACAAAGAAGCTTTGTGAACCGTACTTCCGTAAATACACGCATCAGGTTGTATGGATTCATCCAGAACAAAACGTTAAGGCTGCAATTTTGATTATATGTGGCGAATTGCAGCTGCATTAAAATAAAGTTTAGACGGGCGGTCGGTGCTTTAACTAATCAAGGTAAGCTGTAAAAGAGTCTAATGTAATTTTTAATATTTTGACTGAATGAATGACCGGATGTTAGAGTGCAGACAGATGCGACGGAGCATCAGGCTCTCAGAGATTTTAGTAATGAGATCAGGCTGGTTTTATGTCACAGCACACTAAACCAGATCAATGTAGATAAACTAGCGAGTTTATATATATATATAAAAAAAATTGAATATGACTAATAGAGGGACGAGGCAACTAGAGAGCAATTGTTTATCGCCTTAAAAGGCACTCTAGTCTTTTCCTCCTGTTTTAAAATAAAAACAAATTAACTTCACACTCAGCTCGTTGTCAAACCGTTGCCAGAAAATGTTGGCATTTTAGTGTGGAATTGGATAGAGCAGCTGATGCTGTGGTCTGTGTACAGATTATTTTAATTTCTCAGCTTCTTTGTTTTCCGCAGAAGATGCCCAAGGAATCTGATGAGTCCTCCAAGGAGGAGCAGAGCAAGATTGACAAGGACGGGATAGAAAACACTATGGAAACATCAGAAGAGATGATCCGGAAGAGGATCAGAAGAAATACTCCCAGTCCTCACAGACTCACCCCCCAGTGTAAGGAGAGAATTTATTATTTTACTTAAGAAATATATGGCAATTTTAACTCTAACAGTGTTAACGTTGCATTCAAACACTCACAGCCAGTCCACCCAGGTTTGTGTCAGTGGAAGAGCTAATGGAGACAGCCAAAGGAGTCACTAATATGGCACTGGCCCATGAGATAGTAATGAACAGTGCTTTTCAAGTCAAGCCTTATGAGCCAGAAGAGGGAAGGTAATAGACTCTATAAATGTTATCATGAGACTGTCATAATGTTCTCAGTGGGCTAAACATATATTTGAAATATTAATTTGTTAATTTAAATCTCTCATTATATTGCAACGCAGTGATTCTGAAGGGATACATATTGTGGTCAAATATTCACTTTGTTTTTTTTGCTCTACGTTTTAAATGGTTTAATTTGAAAATGTTTAGTAATGCTTCAACATATCTTTCCTGTGTACTCAGTTTGGAGAAACAGGTCAAAGAAATAATGCACAAAGCATTCTGGGATTGCCTTGAGTCACAGCTGAATGAGGACCCACCATCTTACAGCCATGCTATCACACTGGTTGGTGAAATTAAAGAGGTAAAGAAAATAATCCAGATCTACTCAATCTCATTATCATATTATGATATTGTATATTAATTAAATTTGTAATTTGTAAAATATAATCAGACACATACTCATATATTTTTATAGAATTAAAATGACATTAAAAATAAAATGTTAATATTAAATATTACATATATACACACTACCAGTTAAACGTTTGTGAACAGTAAGTTTTTTTTATTGTTTTTTAAAGAAGTCTCTTCTGCTCACCAAGCCTGCATTTATCTTATCTAAAATACAGCAAAAACAGTAACATTTTGAAATATTTTTACTATTTAAAATAACTGCTTTTTATTTGAATATATTTTAAAATGTAATTTATTGCTGTGATCAAAGCTGAATTTTCAGTAGGGCTGCACGATTAATCGAATGCGATTGAAATGCGCATTTTGTTAAAAAAGCCGGTTCTGTAATCAGCGGGAAATCATCATCACGTGCTTTCAGATGGAGCAGCATTTACTACACATAGCCATAGTTCACTGACAACAAATATATTCGAAGTGTAAGGAAAATGCTTTTTATTTTACTTAATGGTTACTCCACATGACAAATTTCAGTCATTAATTGTAGTTTTCTTTAAAATTTTATTTTTTCCCCCAAAACAATATGAAATCAACATGAAAACAAAGTGTCAATTTCTAATAACTTGCACGTGTGTTTTAAACTCTTTTTTTTTTTTTTTTTCATTGATCCCAAAACTATTCTTTTACCTTTTCCTTTGTTTTCTCCCTCCTGTTATCAAACAGACTCTTCTCATGGATCAGGGCAGATTTCTGGAGATGCAACAGGAGCTGGAGAAACTGGCACTGGTGGCTTCAGTCCTGCTCATAGTCTATAACAGTGCCGGTGAAGCCATTTCTGGACTCCCAGGCCTCATGGAAAGACTGAAGAAAACCATTAAGATTCTGTTAGCGGAGATGCACACTTTGTACGTTTGCAGATTACATTACATTGTGTTTCTAAAGCCTCACACTTCTGTAGACAAAACCATTGTACTTTTCTCTTATAGGTCCTTTAAAGCGGATGAAACCTTTGCTGCGGTTGCAGAGAAATTGTGTGGGGAGCTCAGAGGATGCTTGTCTCAGCATGGCTTTTCCCCATTTTCTTCTGACAGAGAGAACACGTTGAAAGGCCAAATTGTAGCTGCGAAGTCTGCGGACAACCCCATACGCAAGGTCATTGGTAAGCGTGTTGTAACCCAAAAAGCAGTTGGATTTTATTTAGAAGTGAAGAACTCTAATCTAAAACTCTACTTTCCCTATCAGACTCCCGAATCCAGACGTACCTTCTTGGCTTCCTGGAGTCAAGCGCCCACCGGTGCGCCCCGGCTCTCCCTGGAGGTCTGACACCCATCAGCAAAGAGTTAGAGGAGATTTCCGTTAAGCTGGAACGTTTGGTAACCTTCAACAAGCTAGTTTACTCTCCGTTCTACCACAAGATCCTCCAAGATATTCTGAAACAAGGGGAAAGTTTAGATGTGTAAACAAAATACCTGAAATACTTACCACTAGTGTTCCTGGCTTTCACATTCTGTAGCTATGTACAAATTAAAGTGTCTGTAAAATAGCTAATTAACCTCTTAAAGCTCACACGCTAGCACTAACAGATATTTAAGGCTTAAGAGTCCTGACCTCCTCTCATTGCATTCTATATCAGGAAATATTTATGAATGTATCAAGGCATTTAAATTGCCTAAAGCTTGGATTACTTTAGGCAATAACTCATAACTGTTAGAATAGCGTACTGAAATGTAATAGAGGAGAACCTTGCGAATACTGTTATTGTGTGCAACAAAATAGAAAAAGAATACTTGCATTTTACAAAAGATTCACTTCCAACAACATTTCAAGTAGTTTCAAACATTTGCTGTTGTAGCCTGATCCCTTCTGTAAAGGTGTTATTGAGGTTTCCGGTTGTGAGGAAAAGGATGTACAGTACAGCATTTGATTGGTGCCTTAGTTTGTGAAGTGCCACCCATATTTAAGTGCACATTTTTCTCTTTACTGCTCATTTTAACCTACAGATTACTCCCATGTTGTTCCCATGTTCACGGGATACTTGGAACACCAAGCATGGTCTTTTTAGAGTATTCTTGATTTTTTAAAAACAATGTTTCTATCAACACTGAGCATGTTTTACAGTAGGCAACTTCACCTCACAAGCAACTGTATTCCCCAACAACCCCAACTGCACATTTCTCTGTTCTACTCTCATGAACCTCTAAGGTGTCTTATTAATGCAGTATTACTAATGGTTATTTTAAATGGAATGCTGGCTCCCAATAAAAATGGTTAATGGAGGTATGTAGAAGCATTGATTGTGTTTACTGTTTTTTTTTTGTATGCAATTCATTTGGCATTATATTACATGATATTTAGTTTTGTTTTATCCAGTATTAATCAGCTATCAATATTAAATCAAATAAAATTAGTTAATTCTGGAAAACATAATTTTCAGATATATCAATATTTAAAATTAAATATAAAATACTAATTGTAATAATTTAAAAAAAATTGTAAGTTCATGTTATTTGTTATGCATACAATACATCAGTTATTGTAATAATTAAATGTTTTAATTCTAAAAAGATATTTTATATAAAATATACTTTATATACAATAAAGTACTATATATTATATTTTAATGTTATATATAAAATAATATTTTATAATATATTTAGTTTGATCTACTTACATGTTTTAAGTTATGTTTACTAATTACTACATTGTTTTATATTTTATGAAAGATTAAGTTATCAAGTTATCAATTATTGTAAGTTAAATTAAATTTGTTCATTAATGGCTACAAGTTGCATTACTTTCAGATATATAAATCTATTTTATTTTACAGTTTTACAGTAAAATTAATTATAATTTTACTGAAATACTTTTTTATTTTGCAGTGAAAGTGACATTTCTTTTTTTTTTTGCATATTTTAATCATTTAATGTTTATTATTATAATTATTATTTTTTTGGCCAAATTGAGAAGCCTTTGGCCAAGCACAGCTCTAAAAAAAAATCACATTTTATACATTTAAATTTATAAGTTTTGTTCAATTTATATGTTAAGATTTTTATGTTATCAGTTATTATTTTAAGTTGAATTAAATTTGTTAATTAACGGTTACCAGTTATATTGCTTTCAGATATATCAATCTATTTTGTAATTATGTATAAAAAAAGAAAATATTTACATATTATTATATTATATATTAAATTTTAAAGCAAAATATTAGATTTAAATAATTAAAATTTTATTTTTATTAAATGTGTTAATTCCGGAACGCAACATTTTCAGCTATTTTATGGCAAAATAATTAATTATATAGACAATATAGCAATATTTACGTGTTATGATGTTACATTGTATACAAGTGTTTAATTAGCATGCAAAGATTTATTCTTATAACATTTACATATTACACTATGACGTTTTTATTTGTTTTTTTGTTTTTGTTTTTTAGACCTGTGCTTTGTCCTAAACACTCCTCACGCACTGCATTTACCCACCAGAAGGGGCCACTACACAACAGAACTGTGCCCTAGTTCCGTGGGCGTCTCATGTGTTGTGCGTTGACTCTCCAGCCCTGTCCACGGCAGTACAGCTAACACAGCAGTTCTGATTCCGCTCTCAAACTCACAGGAAGAAGCGGCGCAAGAGCATTCTCGAGCGAGCGCTCACTCAGCTGAGAGAGCTCCAGCGAGCTGAGCTGACAGAGTTTGTCCGTCGCCGGCAGGAGGAAACAAACCAGGGGGGCTTAAACGTCCTCGACATGACGACAAAAACCTCCCCTGACCGAAACGGATATCCTTAATTACACGTTGGACCCTGTTCGGTTCCCGTGGATGGCTTAGCAGGCGAGTTATGCGCAGTTGAAAATGAGGGAGCTTGTGTTTTTTCTCCCTCGTCGTCCAGCGAGAGGACAAGATGGCAGCGCGAGCGCGTCGAGCATGTAGTGGGTGCGAATTAAACCCGAACATGTTCACAAAAAACCCGCAGTCCGACCACAGCTGCTGTCTGTGAAGGTAAGGAAGAATTTAACGAGTTGCAAATGCATAAATACGTGTCTGATAGTTAATAGTGAAGCTATCAGATCAGGCTCGACTTCGGAGTTGTGAACGCGAGCTCGTAACTGTTGCGAAAAAAGTTGCCACACCAAAAACTTGAAAGCAGTGTTTTGCTGGATTTGGTCATGTGTTTTGGTAGCTCTTGAGCTTCTGGGTTTACGAAAAAAACCGAACTTTTTTTTTTGCCCCTCAACTTTTTATCGTTAAATGTTCGCGTAGACTTGCTGGTAACCAGCCAAACCCATAATGTTTACTTAAATCCTGCTGCTTTTAAAAGCATGACATAAAGAAGTTAAGATGTTTTTAAGCATTAATCATTTGCGTTGTTAGTGTTCGTGCATATGATTTGTAGGTTTTAAAGTGAGTTTTTCCGTTTAAACTTGCCAGTTGTTGATCTTGTACAATAATCAAGCGACATGTTGCAATCCTTCTAAAATGCACAGGCCTGGTAATCGGTTAGCAGCCTGACTTCTCCTTTCTTCTGTAACTTGACAGTATGCTGGTAAGACTCAGCAAAAATTGTATCTAAAATCTCTTATGTAATATGCAAGTTGCATTTCCTGTCTACACATTGAAATAGAATCTCTCATGCATTTCCTATAGAAGCTTGTTCAGAAAGATGTTTTAAACTGTTCTTGAATATTAGAACAATGCTTATTTCATGTATATTTTCGGCAGGGAAATTCATTTAGCGTTCCTACTCTAATGGAAAACCTGGAAATGTTATGGAATTTCCAGACCTGGAAGTGAATATAGATCCCCCCCCCCTAGTTATGGTCAGCTGTAAAAATTTATTTGGTTTAAAAAAAATTTTTTTGTAATATGCGAAATAGTAAAGCAAAAAAAGTGTTGAAATTTTATAAAACATGTATTACGACATAATGAAACAGAGGAACATAAGTTCCTCATTGTTATTATCATCGCATTATATTATAGCAAAATATTTAATTGTTGTATTCAAATACCCGTTATTTTTAAGATGTATTAAATTCTACTTGTTTAATTTGTTGCTTGATATTATTTTGTGAAATTAATTAATATTGCAATTATTTCATTATCAGTTTTAAATCAAATTCAACTTAATTACTAGTTAAAAGTTACATTGCATTTAGATATATGAAAATATTTTATAATGTAATCAAGAAAATATATACATGTTTTATTTTAGAATATTTTATAGTGAAATAGTTTAAATAATTAGGTTATTTTTACTAGGTGTGTTAATTCTGGAAAACCCTGTTTTCAGATATATTATTATTATTCCTCATTTTATTGGTTATAATTTTTTTTGTGTATTTTATATGTAAAATGTGTGTGTGACTTGAAAAAGAATCATGGAAGAATTATGGAATTTCGTTCAACCCCGTTTCAATATGCCAAAGAATACTCCAAAGAAATGTTGTCACTTTTTTTTATAAAACATGAATTACAACATAATGAAACAGGAGAATTGTAAGTTCCTCATTGATATTACTATCACTTTCCATCACTGGGAAAATTTGTGCCTGTCAATTCAGTAAAGTTTACTTCCCAATCATTTCCTGCCGTTAAACTTTTATAGCCCAAGCACTTGCAGTATCAACAGGTGTTTTCCAAATGCCATCTCTCGCCTAACCCCATTAGGTCTTGACATAGGAAAAGGTCGGTCACCACCTGCTTATAGTAGAAGGAAGTGGCATTTGAAAACAGTAGAGAGACCTGTAACCCAAAACCTTTGCTGGTGCCTCCTTGCTACTGGGGGATAATGCGCTACTATGGGACAGACCTCATATAAACACTCCTCCAGATGGGACTGTCCTTTTAAAGCTGTTGAGTCAGTCTCTGGTTGCAAACCTAGATGTTGTTTACACAGTCAGGAATATAGACGTAATTGAAATGCATGATTTAAACCTGGAGTTTGATATGGTAGTGTGAATGAATGCGGCCTTTTATAACGTTATAACTCTGGAAGTGAAATCCATCAGATGTGCATTCCCCATAAAACAACGTGACATGTTTGCACCCCTTTTATGTTTTATAACCTCAATATTTGCCGTTATGAAATCCAACCTAGTGTGCCAGAGTGTTAGCAGGCTTATAAGTGTGTGAGAGAGTTAGTATGTGGGTGTGTAAGAGCCACACCTGTCCTCGTGTCTGAACTTGTGCCATATGTTGTGCCAGCATAAGTAGTCTGTCTCCCACGAAACTAAGACAGCTAATCCCCATTGGTCACTTGTCTGTCTGAATCTGCTAATATGATATCACTGGTTTTATTGCACACTAGGGCTGAACGATTAATCAAAACTATCGCTATTTGGCTTATTAATCAAAGTGCAACGGCTGAGATTTTTTTAGACAAACATATGTGCGTGTATTAGGGTGAAACGTGATACTGTGTTAATTTATGCGCAGAACAGTGTTTAGCGTCTCAGTTCACAATTACTACTTTACACAAGCTGTATTTCTGCAATCACTGCAGTTGCTTTGCTTATAACGTGCATTTGAAACGCAACACTCGCCAAACATTTCACCAGTTTTTTTTTTTAATGAGAAGTTTAGAAACGAAAAAACAAGAACCTTTTTGCTAAAATAAAAATGTAATTGTTCAGTGTTTAAACATGAAGAAATTAAGGCATGAATATTAGTATTGCAATTTGACAGTTTTACAGTAAAATATATTATTATAATTTTACCTAAATACTTTTGTTTTGCAGTAATGTAGTAAAATGTATTATTTTTGCATATTTTAATCATTAAATGAAAAGAATATTCATGCCTTAACTTCATTTAAAAACGAAGAAATTAAGGCATGGATATTATTGCAACTTGACAGTTTTACAGTAAAATAAATTATTATAAATTTACTTATACTTTTTTATTGTGCAGTAATGTAGTAAAATGTTTTATTTTTTGCATATTTGAGTCATTTATAGTTTTTATTATATAATAATAATAATTATTATTATTATTATTATTTGTGTTAGTACAATATAATACAACTATTAATGACATAATCACACAATTTTTGGCCAAATTGTGAAGCCCTACAAAAAAGCACATTAATTATGGAGCTCTTTTAAAAAAAAAAAAAAAATCATATTTTATAAATCACAGTTGAAATTGCAGTTTTTTTTGTTTCCAAATCGTGCATCCCCATGGCACACTTACAATGCTTTCGGAGCTTTATAAATTTTGCCTTCAGGCTTTAGTGAGATCTTCTTTGTTATTTGGCCTCTGTTTTTCATGTAATTCATTCAACAATCCGTCTTGCTTATTTTAAGTCTCTTATAATAGCATAAGGTTTTGTTTTGATGATTGTGACTGTATAAAAATGTAAACAGCATCTGTGAAATGACTAACACAGGCTAACGCTTTTCTTCCCCTCTGTCCTTTATAGGTATGGCCTCACAGGTTACGGTCTGCCCACCACATGTTTATCAAACCCAGACAAGTGCCTTTTGCAGAGCGAAGAAAATCAATCCCAGCAGCTGTGTTTATCATGAGAAGATCCCTCGCACTTACGTGGTCGGTGTGAATCTAGGCATTGCGCACCCTACGGATATTATACCTTTATCGAGAATCAAAGCTTTGACTAGCGAGAAACCCTGCGTCGCACGGGACGTCTCGAAACAGACTGATACAGCTCCACAGGAGCTCCTCGGAAGGGCTTCCTCCCCATACAAACGTGTGGCATCGGAGGGCGACCTTCAGTATATCTACAGAGCGGCCGTGCCAGTTGAAAAAGAAAGTGTAGACGGTGGCCAAAACAGCCAAAGTAGTAGAAGCAGTGGCGGTGCTCCAGAAGGGGCGGAGCGGATCGAGAGGAACGGTGGTTTGAATTCGTTTGACGGAACCCAAAGATGTGGGTTTAAATGCAAAGGGGAGGAGCTTGAGAACGGCAAGAGCACCATGCAAATAGTAGAGGAGCATTTGACTCTACCTGCCATGTTGCAAACAAACGTTGGGAGCACGACCGCAGTAGGCGTGGCCCTGCCCGTGCAGAACGCAACCGGGACGGGAGCCGTGAGCGGGACAGGCGATGGCGAGTATCAGTTGGTCCAACACGAAGTGCTGTGCTCCATGAAGCACACCTACGAAGTGTTGGAGTTCTTGGGACGTGGTACGTTCGGTCAGGTTGTCAAATGTTGGAAGCGAGGCACCAATGAGATCGTGGCGGTGAAGATACTGAAGAACCACCCGTCATATGCCCGCCAGGGCCAGATCGAGGTGAGCATCCTGGCCCGACTGAGCGGGGAGAATGCCGAGGATCACAACCTGGTGAGGGCTTTCGAGTGTTTCCAGCACAGACACCACACATGTCTGGTGTTTGAGATGTTGGAGCAGAACCTGTACGACTTCCTCAAGCAGAACAAGTTCAGTCCGTTGCCGCTGAAGGTGATTAGGCCCGTTCTGCAACAGGTGGCCACGGCGCTGAAGAAGCTCAAGAGCTTGGGCCTGATCCATGCCGATCTTAAACCGGAGAACATTATGCTGGTAGATCCTGTGAGGCAGCCCTTCCGTGTGAAAGTGATTGACTTTGGCTCTGCCAGCCACGTCTCCAAAGCTGTGTGTTCGACGTACCTGCAGTCTCGCTACTACAGGTAAGTTGTGCTTTTTTGTTTCCTCTAATAGGCTGACTACCGGTTATGTCATGTCTGTGTTTAAGCATAAATAGACTTTTGGAATTTGTGGCAAGTATAAAGATATAATTTGTGGTGTTCGTTTGGAGGAAGTCGAACTGAGGAAGGTTTACTTAAGCCACACTTCCTATCAGGACAATTATGTAATTCTGTCTATAGCTTTTGTCAAAGTTTGATGGTAAGCTCTCTTTGTAACCGCCATGGAGCTACACCCATACTTTATATAACTTTATGTAACTCCAAAAAAAGAAATAAACATGACGCACTAAGTTTTCGACTAGTTTGGTCCCCTCTCGTTTGCTTTTTTTTTCTAATGGGGTCAGTTCAGTCCGTGATGGCTGTACTTTGTGTCTCTATGTGGTTGGCAGTTCTTTAGGAAGAATGTGGTAGGGATGTAACGGTATGAAAATTTCATATCACGATTATAGTGACCAAAGTTATCACGGTTATCAATATTATCACGGTGTTGTGAAAATTAGATGAAAATGTTCAAAAAGAACTAATACACACACTGAAAACATTTCAATAAGTTTTATATTTGAAAAGCAACAAACAACAAATACAATTAGCAGCTATATGCTAAATTTTAAACGATAATACTAACCGTCAGGGCATTTTATCGTGATTTATCGTGAAACCGGGAATCGTTCCATCCCTAGAATGTGGTTTGCTGAAGTGATTCATGGGACGTGGAAGAACATGGAAACGGTCTTAAATTAGAACATTCCAGATGTTTGTGTTTTAAGTTCTCTGTCAAACTTAATTCGTATTTTTTAACCTCAAAATTTCCTTTCATGCTTTCGGTCTATATTGTAGTAAATGGATAATTCAGCCAACCTCATGTTGTTCTAAAGATGTATGACTTATTTGCTTTTTCAGAACACACAGTGCACAATACATTATGCATTATTATGCTTTCAAAAAGTCTTTTTTCTTTTTTTTTTTTCAGCAAGGATGCATTAAATCAGGGCTGCCCAAACTCGGTCCTGGGGGGCCGGTGTCCTGCAGAGTTTAGCTCCAGCTTGCCTCAACACACCTGCCTTTAAGTTTCTAGTATGCCTAGTAAGTGCTTGATTAGCTGGTTCAGGTGTGTTTAATTGGGGTTGGAGCTAAACTCTTCAGGACACCGACCCTCCAGGACCGAGTTTGGACACCCCTGCATTAAATGATCAAAAGTGGCGCTAAAGACATTTATAATGTTATACAGAATTTCTATTTGAAATTAATGCTGTTCTTTTGAGCTTTCTTTTCGTCAAAGAATCTGAAGAAAATGTATCACAGTTTACACAAAAATAAAAATAAGCAGCAACATTAGAAAAATATTTCTTTAGCAGCAAATCAGCATAATTAGATTGATTTTTGAAGGATGTTATTACACTGAAGACTTTAATTATAATGCTGAAAATTCAGCTTTGCATCACAGAAATAATAGAAATAGAAAATTATTATTTTAAATTGTAATATTTATATAATATTTCACAAATGACTGTTTTTTTAACTGTATTTTTCATTAAAATTTTTTTAATTTTAAATAAATAGACCTCTTTCTAAATCATCTAAAAATCATTCAGACCACAAACCTTTGAATGGTAGTATATGTATTTTGAAGATTTTTTTTTTTTCAGCTGTTTTTGTCTGTTAGTAGTCCAAGACAACATTAAACTCAATAACTTTCACTGTGTGGACAAAAACACTTTTCAAAACATCTTAAATAAGAAAATGATTCAGGTTTGGAACAGTGTGTGTGATTGAGTAAATTTTATTTTTAGGTGAACTGTTCCTTTAAGACATTTTTGCCTCTTGAAAGGCATACGAATAGGTTTCGAACATAATGTGAAATTGCAGTGCGGAGTACAGTCTGTCTCTGTAAACGTGCTCGGTTTGTGGGGAAGCTATCAGCGAACAAGATAAAGAGGAACTAGCGCTAGTTTAAATAGGCCATTTGAACTCTTTGTACTTTGGCACAGCCACAGTTTGATGCCTGCAACTGTATGAACTCACGGCCCATGCAGGTGGCACATGTGAATGTTTCGCTTTGCATGGGATTGAGATGCACTGAAGAACATGTCTGTTGGTAGTCCTGTCTTTGCACTCAAACGAAGTGTGATAACACAGATGTTTTTATAGAAGGTTATGAATAATCATTCACTCTCGCTGGTTTTTTGCTTGATTAGCTGGTTCAGGTGTGTTTAATTGGGGTTGGAGCTAAACTCTTCAGGACACCGACCCTCCAGGACCAAGTTTGGACACCCCTGCATTAAATGATCAAAAGTGGCGCTAAAGACATTTATAATGTTATACAGAATTTCTATTTGAAATTAATGCTGTTCTTTTGAGCTTTCTTTTCGTCAAAGAATCTGAAGAAAATGTATCACAGTTTACACAAAAATAAAAATAAGCAGCAACATTAGAAAAATATTTCTTTAGCAGCAAATCAGCATAATTAGATTGATTTTTGAAGGATGTTATTACACTGAAGACTTTAATTATAATGCTGAAAATTCAGCTTTGCATCACAGAAATAATAGAAATAGAAAATTATTATTTTAAATTGTAATATTTATATAATATTTCACAAATGACTGTTTTTTTAACTGTATTTTTCATTAAAATTTTTTTAATTTTAAATAAATAGACCTCTTTCTAAATCATCTAAAAATCATTCAGACCACAAACCTTTGAATGGTAGTATATGTATTTTGAAGATTTTTTTTTTTTCAGCTGTTTTTGTCTGTTAGTAGTCCAAGACAACATTAAACTCAATAACTTTCACTGTGTGGACAAAAACACTTTTCAAAACATCTTAAATAAGAAAATGATTCAGGTTTGGAACAGTGTGTGTGATTGAGTAAATTTTATTTTTAGGTGAACTGTTCCTTTAAGACATTTTTGCCTCTTGAAAGGCATACGAATAGGTTTCGAACATAATGTGAAATTGCAGTGCGGAGTACAGTCTGTCTCTGTAAACGTGCTCGGTTTGTGGGGAAGCTATCAGCGAACAAGATAAAGAGGAACTAGCGCTAGTTTAAATAGGCCATTTGAACTCTTTGTACTTTGGCACAGCCACAGTTTGATGCCTGCAACTGTATGAACTCACGGCCCATGCAGGTGGCACATGTGAATGTTTCGCTTTGCATGGGATTGAGATGCACTGAAGAACATGTCTGTTGGTAGTCCTGTCTTTGCACTCAAACGAAGTGTGATAACACAGATGTTTTTATAGAAGGTTATGAATAATCATTCACTCTCGCTGGTTTTTCCCTTTTTCTGGGAATTTGTTTATGAGTCTTTACATAGTGTTCGTGTTAAATCATTACATAAGTACTGAGTAATTTTAACGAACAACATGTACTTAATGTGTATTTATTTTGAGTGGTTTGTAATTGCACATTGTTTGCTATTGTAAGAAATTAGTCACAAGTAATGTTTTTTAACATCATTGTAATATAAAGTGTTAACTTCATTGTTAGCATCTTCCCCTTCTATTTGTTTATAAAGTGCACATTTTGTTCTATAAACAAACATAAGTGCTTATGGTTAACTCAATTAATGTTCAAGTATTTTGTTAAACCTAATATTTTGTTATTTATCAAATTTGAAAGTTTCTTATATATTGTTATGTCTTTGCATGTCAGATATTGCTGTTTTTTTCATAAGCCCCATGTTGTGGCCTATATCTAACGTTTGCATCCCAAAGTGGGGGGAAAAGGGAAGCGTGTGCTTCTGTTTTCCATTTGTCCCCTGTTTCTGTCGGCATGATCGATGTCGTAAGAATCCATAGCTTGTTCCCAGCACAGATCTGGCTCACCTAAATTTAGGGCGGATCTCGTTGTGTTCATAGTCGCTGTGGTATGTGAGGTTGTCATGACAAGCATTTATTATTCGTACTTCGAGCAGGCACGTACTCATGTGTCAGGAAGTGAAATTTTGCAGGTGTTGTCAAATAGCAGAGCTGTTTTTATATTTCAAACTGTTTTAGAACTGGTGTCTGTATGTTTGTCAAACATTTTCTCATTTTTATAAATAGAAGTGTATAATATATATTATATAAAATTGTATAAAATATAAAACATCAATTTGTAAATGCACCAGTGTGCAGGCATTTTTAGTGTTTTATACATAAGATAAGATACAGTAAGAACATGAACAAAGAAACAAAGTAAAACAAACTGACAAATACAATAAAACAAATATACAAATGAAATGAAATAAACAGTGCTGTCATTTTTCCATGAAGTTCTACTAACATTACTGTTCAGGTAAGTAATAGCCTACAAAAGAAATCTAAAAGTAATCAAATGTAAATGAACACTGCATAGTTTTCATTGTATGTATTGATAGATTAATGCTTATTAAAGCTATAACGTTATTCAGATTAAGAGCAGATTTGCATTTTGATGGCCCAAGCACCAGTCTGTCACTTTAAGACAATATATTGACACACATCGGATTTTCTCCCAACTGTTCTCCTCCACTTAAGACATAAACTGTGTTTAAGTAAATACTCTCCAAGCCGGCAATGTTGACATTTTTTTGTGTATTTGATCGATTGGCCATGCGCCCGAAGCTCAAAGTGTAATTTGTTTGTCCGTTTTGGAGCGCGCCGTGCGCACACATTTCAGCCTGAGGAACAGCGTCTCTTGTGCGGATTGTGCTTTCAACATTTTATTATCAAACATGTCCCGCAATTTAGAATGGATTATATGTATGAGGTTCCATTTGTGTCAAAAATGAGTCGACTGCTTTGTGCTTTGTACTATACATTTGTCTTTGTCTACAGTCATTAGGAACGAATGCGCACCGCTGTGAAGGGAAAGAAGTTGCGCAATACGAAACGCAGCTAGTTTTTAATAGCTTTACCTCATGTCTTCTTTTGTATAATCCTTAGAAGCCAAAATCGAAATAAAAAAAATTAAATTAGCTTAAAACCGCCACAGGCCTAAAGTGTAAGCAGATGTTTGAATGTTTAGTTCTCCTATCATAATTAAACAGGGCTGTCATGTTGCGCGTGCTGAAGCTCCTCCGCGTGGGCGCGATCTCACTTCATTCTGAATTGCGAATAGCAAAAATGCATCATAGACAAATGTTTGAAAAACAGCTGGCGACTCTGGTGAGATAGAATTAGCAAGATAATGTGTATATATATAGCAATAATAACGTCAGAGCTTATCAATACTCCGGTCTTTCATAATTTAGCCCCGGGACCGATTAAATACCGGGTTTCGGTACCCATCCCTATTAAAGACAGTGACAGACAG